GAAGCTGAGGCAGGAGAATCGCTTGAATCAAGGAGGAGGAGATTGCAGTGGACCGAGACAGAGTCATTGCACTCCAGCCTGGGCAGCAAGAGCGAACTCGGTCTCAAAAAAAAAAAAAAAAGGAAATCAAAGTGGAGCTATATCATTATACATCCCTCAACCTCTTGCATCCTGATATTCTTTCCTGAACCTGAGAAAAATGAATGGTGTTATAGCCAGTAACCAGCCACCTGCTTTATGAACACCAAAAATACATTCTCTTTGTTCAAGACTCTTTTGATTAGAAAGCATGACTGTGTTTCAAGTCCCTGCAGAATTTGCAGGAGTCACCAAATTCTGAATCTGTCCCTAGATGTGTAACCATCTTGAATATTTTCTGTCCTAGAAGGAGAAAAGGATTGAAAAGCCACAGTTTCTGTGCTTCTGAGGGCAGAGACTGCCTTTCATTCATTCCAAGTGCCCTGCTAGCATGGACCTCAATCATAGTAGGTGTCGATAAGTGTTTATTCCATACAATAGTCTATACAGACATAGTGCGCTAGTGTGTTAGCAAAATGTCTGTGAGACTTGAGTCCTCAGTTGCTTTGTTGTTAAATGTTCTCGGTTGTAGTCTAGCTCTACATAGCAAGAGCTATAAAACAGTCAACCCTTTGACCCAGTCATCCACTTTCTGGGCAACAATTCCAAGGACATAATTTTTAAAAAGAAAAATGCTATATGTATACAGATATTAATAGCTGCATTATTTATAATGACAAAAAACTGGAATCAACCAGTAACAGAAAAGTGGCTAAATATGGTATTTATGTGGCTAAATATATAAGAGGGAAGAGTATGCAGCATGAAAATAACCATGAAAACTATGAAGAGACAGGGAAATGTGTTTTCAAAATATATAAAAAGAGTGCAACAAAATTATTTGTATCCCATGTTAAAAAAATAAAAGCTTATATACCCATTGAAATTAAGAGAAAGTAGGAAAACTACTGGCAGACAGAATGAGAATTTTTTTTAATAATTGCCTCTAATGATGCAAAATTTTCATAATAAACATCAAAATGGTCCCAGCTCCTTGGATGGAGACTAAATGCTAGTCTTTCTCAGGATAGAGACCTGATCATTTAACTTTTTTTTTTTAGACAGAATCTCACTCTATTGCCCAGGCTGGAATGCAGTGCAGTGGCACGATCTCTGCTCACTGCAACCTCTGCCGCCCAGGTTCAAGCGATTCTCCTGCCTCAGCCTTCCAAGTAGCTGGGATTACAGGCTCCTGCCACCACGCCTGTCTAATTTTTGGTTTTTTTAGTA